GATATCGTCCTCTTTTGGAAGACCAAACAAAGTAGTTTCGCTTTCACAACGAAGCACACAGCGTTTTCAGGACATGGCGGCGGCGGCGGCAACAATACTACAGTGAGACTAAAAGTTACGCCTTCTTTCTTTGCGTGAACATTTGGGTGGCGTTATGCAAATCTTTCCACAGAACAACGTAGGTATGTGGGGGCGTGTTAGAACGAGCCGTTTTAGGTAGGTGTGGCTGACTCTTAACTTTTATAAAGAATATCTCTTTGGGTTTGAGACTTTAGTCTTTGCAACTTTACAGATCTTCTTTATGCACCAAGAGCTTGTAACACTCCAAAGAGAAAGGAAAAATTCAAATTGCATCATATGACCCCTTTAATGTCTGTAAAAGGGGGTGGAGCTTGCATTGCTGACCACTGGTTACACTGACTCCGCTGAAAGTCGGGGTGTGTAGCGTGTCACTACTGACCCCTCTGGCAGCACAGTCACTGACTGACAATCCCTGACTCGCAGAGCACGTCCCTTCTTAGAAACATGTCCCGCTGCTTCTGGCATAACATCACAGTTATGAAAGTGTCCTCCATTCCCATATTTAGACCCATGACATTATGTAAAAGGGGAAAGAAGCGTCTTCACGCACTTCTGTGCTAGCTTGCACCTGTTGCGAATGAAAAAACTGCAGCATCATAGATGCATTATATTTGTTTTAGGGCTTCTTTGTAGGTACTTTTTTTTTGCTGAAATTCCTGGCTTTGTGGTTCAGCTCACCGACAGACCAAGAAAATAATTCTTGGAAGAAATCAGAACATTCGAAACAGACATCTTTCATCAGCTTGTCTAGACTTTGGCATATGTTCTCTTCACTAGTCTCTTTCATATGTGTTGAAGCATGTATGGCGGGTTAAACCCTGCACACAGAGCGCAGATGACGCAGGCTAATTATTTTCCACAGGTCAATCCTGCAGTGCACCTGCCACACACACAGCCTGTCAAGTTCATCACCTAAAGTACCCATTGAACATATCTGAAGACACCTGAATCATTAAGACTTGTCAAAATAAGCCCAGGGCGAAGCTGTTATATCATCATCGCTTTCCGTTAAGAAACACTTCTCTTCCAGTTCTACCTGATACTGAACATGTTTTGCAAAGAAGAAGAGTGCTGATTTTAGGCCAATTTATGCATCGGATTGAAATGTTGACTACAGGTGCATCTCAATAAATTAGAATGTCGTGGAAAAGTTCATTTATTTCAGCAATTCAACTCAAATTGTGAAACTCGTGTATTAAATAAATTCAATGCACACAGACTGAAGTAGTTTAAGTCTCTGGTTCTTTTAATTGTGATGATTTTGGCTCACATTTAACAAAAACCCACCAATTCACTCTCTCAACAAATTAGACTGTATATTATAGTAGAGATCGGGGCTAGTTGTCACACAAGTTGCCAAAAGTTTTTAGGTAATTTCGATTTTTTTTTTAATGTTTTTGACTCTTATGGTAACCAAGGCTGCATTTATTTGCTCGAAAATAAATAATTTTTACAATTTAAACTTTTTCTATTTGAATATATTTTAGAATGTAATTTATTCCAGTGATGTCCAAGCTGAATTTTCATCATCATTACTCCAGCCATCATTCTAATATAATGATTTGCTGTTCAAGAAACATTTCTTCTTATTATGAATGTTGAAAATGTTTTGTGGAAAACGTGATACACTACCTCTCAAAAAAAAAATCTTAAGTATTCCAAACTTTTGACTGATTATGAGGTATGTAGTCAAGTCCAATAAAGTCCAGTTGCAGAAAATTGTTGTTCTTCTTGTTTGGATGTTCGTTTCAAACATCTAGTTCCCATTGAGTCGCCTACATATACATACTGTATACTCACATATGCAAATGTGTACTAAAATTAATATGTTTAAAACTCTATGTAATCCTAGTGATTCATCCTTTGATGTATATCTGAATTTAATTGACATTTCCAGCTGTAAACTTGAGCATTTTACACTCCATTTACAGCAATGAGCTCTAGTAATGAGCTGAAGAGATCCAGTTTTATCCCTGACCAGCGGAGGGAAAGTAGGTTAGTGGTCCACTTACAGCTCTTGGGAGCAAACATCTGCTCCATTTGAGCCTGGGAAGAGCAATGGAAAATATAAAGCGTTCCTAGCGCACATGAGGCCTGTGTGCGCACAGACAACGAACTCCTTGTGTTCCGTCAGCGTTTGGTTCTTAGATGGCCTGTCTGCTGGAATGTCAAGAGGACGGAAAGGAAAAGACGTTTCCTCTGAAAGGAAGTTGATACTTGTGAAGCCAAACGACTCCGCACTGAAGTAGAATCATATAAAAACGTTCACAAATGTTATACTTTGGAGGTTGTACAAATTGGATGCAAACGTAATGTAAATGCTGGTGGTGAAAAGTTACACAATGAAGTCTGTCAACACAGCGAACTGGTTAAAGATCTCGCCTCGGGATATGTAACACCCGTCTGTCTATTTGCTCTTCGTGTTGTTTTACATTTTTAATCCCATCATTTAAACCTGGGTCACAATTTTAGACACGGCAGAGCACATGATGTAACCACCATCTCTGGATATTTTTTGTACTTTTTGACATGAGCATTGGGCAATATCCTCGACTATGATATACAACCTCATTTCCATTTTGTCAAAGTGATTTGTTACCATATTTTTTTTTGTCTGAACATGTAGGAACACCTGTTTGCCAAATATGACACGTTAGTGTAAATTGGTGTTCTTGAAGTATGTTCTAACAAGTAATAAAAGAAAAATTAAACTTTTGTTTTTGTATAAAATGGCGTATTTATTTAAACGGATTGGAGCAAAGACAGACAAACATAAAGAGACAACCTACAAAATGGTACAAAAGTTAGAAACAAGCCAAGAATACAAAACTATGTGGAAACACACTGAAAACACACAGCAGATATTGCACCGTTCAACTTGGGAGTAGCTTAATACCCATTTCACCCATCAACCCCTGAAATGGAAAAAAAATGGAAGCCAGTTTAATTAGCTCTGGACCAGCCTGACTGAAGAGCAACATCGCTTCCTATATGCAGTATGCATTTCATGTTCAGTCTCTATGAGGGTTCTTTGATTCCCTGTAAGTGCATGTTTGAGAATGTTCTTGTAGTATCTGAAGTAAAACACTAGGGAAAAAAACAAAAACAAAACGGCAACAATTTTCACCACGACCCAACACAAACATCAAGGTAAGGATGCATACAGTTCACAAAAAGTACATAGTCCCTTTTTTTAATAGGTAAATATCAGCACAGCGCACAAATTCAGCCATAAACGGTGATTAAAAACAAACATGGTTTTTGTGCCAAGGCCACAAAGATGGTTTCATTAGTCTAAACGTGTAACTAGTGACTCTAGTTTGTCTGTTAACAGCACATTTATGTAAACAAACATTCCTAAAATCACAAGTAAATGTCAGAGCATATGTTTGTCAAACTTGTGCATTATATTAGCCAAGCTTCGGTATACACTTTGAATGCAATTGATGAAAAGTGCTAATTGTCGTTAAACAAAAAACGGCCTACGCCAACAGGCCACTGTCAGAAGAGTACGAAAAAAAAAAGAATATGTCAAGAGTCTAGTTAGCTCTTAGTTGTACATATAGTAAGAGGTTCTAAACGAGTTTTGGAGTGCGGTTCTCTGTGTATCTCGTAACAGTGAGAGTGGGAGGACTGATTCAGGAATGTCTTCAGGAATCTCGATGAGTGTCCTCTTCATTTGCCGCCAATGGTCTCTTTTCTCTTGCCACTTGAATCAGTGCCATGTTCAGGTTGATGCTCTCGCAGTTTCTTTCTAGCAGAAAGGCAACGTGGCATGTCAGAATCTTACCCATAATGCTTTGCAGCAGGTCTTGGTCTTGGTGCAGGTCAGTTTCCGACATTCTTAAAACGTTTCAAGAAAATCAATGTGGTAAAGCCACTTCTTCTAAGTTGAGAAACGACAAACAATTGACAAAAAGAAAGTCTGTCGTTATTCTGTTGGGAGTGGATGCAGGATTGTTGGAGTTATTTGTTGCTCTTAGTACAATGATAACCGATAAATCTTCAAGATGATTCAGTGTAATCATTCAAATAAGTGAAGAATCACATCCAAAATAAGGCTGGATGTTTGGACACCATTCTCGCACTTAGTGGTGTTGCGTTTAGTCCATTTTGGTGTCAAGGGCACAGTTTTACTCCAACAAATCTGGTCTGTACTCCTTTCACCAAGGATGGAGGGGGAAGGGAATCACTCGAGATCTTCAGTGGATTTTAGGGGCCACTGAGCTGGACTCGACCTGGATTGGGAGTGGTTCCTGGTGGATATCCATCTGCGTCACCAAGATGGACGCTCGTGCCTCCTCACGGAGGAAGAACAAACCCCAGTTGAGGTTGTAGAGATAAGAGATCCCTGACAGCACTGGTCAGGTGTGGTCACTCCTTCAGCGGGATGGACAGGTATCTGGTCTCCTGTCCAAGGAGTCGCACACCTGCTCAGGATGGGGATCAACCTGTCAAGGGAGACGAACAAGGTTTCAGAATATAGGAACTCAAATGCAGTAGCAAGATACAAGCTACAAGGTCTGGGACTCAATGTACCTCAGAATACAGGGGCGGAGGCTGGAAGCGGAACTCATGGATGTAAGCATAAAGTGGTCCTTCAATCTCATCTCTCACAGCTGGGAGCTCCAAGTTGTTCTGTCGCTCCTCATCTGTGACGATTTCAGAGTAGCTTGGTGGAGCTACAGGAGTTGAGGACAAAGCCAACAATTAGACCAAAAAAGACTTCTATGCTGATTGTTTAATGTCGAACGGTTGTGAAAGCATCTTTGGCATCTTAATCAATGGGGCTCAATCCTACTCCTGGAGATCTGCCTTTGGATTTATTGGAGACTCTGGGAAGTAAACTCTGAAAGAAGGTGGTCCTCAAGGAGCAGAACTGAGTACCCATAACCTAAAGGTCCTGGAAACAAGTTTAGGATTTGTGTCTTACCTTCAGGTCTCTCAGGCAATCCCAACCAGCTCATAGCCATGCTGCACTGACTGCTGACGGAAGAGGTGCGACTGCCAAAGGAGTGGAGAGGAATGGTGCCAATCACCAGGGGCAGATTCAGGGTCAAGTTGACAGCTCGAGGGATGTCCACATACACCTGTTGAGAAGCAAGAGGTTAGTTGCATGGCCGATATTGGCAAGCAGTTCGCCTTTTCATGAATCAAAAGGATTGTAGACTCACCATGAGTGAATATTCCACATGGATGATGCTGCAGTCCAGAATGGAAGGCGATATGGGTGGGATCTTCAGCATCTTGCCGTCCCAAGTCTCGGTCTTGCCAGAGGGTAGAGGATCTCCTCGGAGGTTAGCTACGAGCTGTTTGATCTCCTTGACCTTCCCTTTGGCAAAGAAGGTTTGGGTTTGGTAGATGGCTGCCTTTGGCACGACCACACGGGAAGAGCAGTTTTCAATCTCTGCGAAGATCTGGATAGACTCTCCTGTAAAGACAACCAACCAAATTGACTCAATCTGAACAAGCTGCAAAATCAAACAACACTTTCATATTAGTGGTTAACTAGTGGCTAAGTGTCCATCAACAAGCAGGTTTATCATCTCACCTGGAGTGTAGCCCTTCCTCTCGATTTTGGCACTTAGTGATACAGGCCCTGATGTGCAGAACCAACAGCAAAGGGTTTTGTCCTTTGTGCCAGCCTGAGGAGACTATAGATGAAAAAAAGGACAATATATGAACCTCTAAAATAATACCACCACAACTCAAGCAAACATTCAGTTTTACATTGTAAGGTGATTTGGCTTCAAATAATTTTCTCTTACCAGTAACAATGGAGTGTTGATGTCAATGTGCTCAAAGACGGTGAACTCCTTCTTGGTTTTCATGGGCAGGAGCCATGGCCTATGAAGCTCTGCCTTCACCCAGTACCGCACGCTGCCGTGTTTGCCTTCAAAGGATGTCGCCAAAGGCCTGGAAAGTGGCATGAACAAATAATGTAAGTATTTCGGTTAATACATTATATATGTGTATAATCAGACAAGAGAGTTACTTACGTCTGGGGCAGTTCGAAGCTGAAGGGAAACTCATGTCGCCCTGAGTGAAGAATGGTGAAGCCCTCGTCGCAGCTGTCATCATCTAAAACAAAGCAGAATAAAATTCGATATACCAATATACCATACCTGTAATATTCCTCAAGAAACCCTAAACACGAGACAACGACAGAGATACGACCCACATTGTCTTAATGTTTCAATGAACGTAAGAACACAAGATTTTAAAACAATGTCAGCATAAAAAATATTTTTTTCGAACCCTTTTTTAAAGTGGGAATAGAACAGCAACATAATTTGGCATAGTATGTTGTTATGCTTTTCAAAATAAAAAAGGGTGAACATATAGGCCTTGTCACATCACTAAAACCTTAAATCTATGCACATACAAATAAAATACTAGTTAAAAATGTAATGTTCTTAATTCATAACAAAAAATATCAATGGAATATAGGAATATTTAGCCTTAAATATGCTATTTTTTATTAACAGTTATTGTTTTTGATGTATTTTCTGATATTATATAGTTTTTGATCATTCTTTCACTTTCACCTCAGCAGTTTCACAGACTGGTGTTAATAACTATGGCCATAAATAAAAACAGGAATAATTTATCATTAACATGTTGAAGCAGTTGTTTTCATTCATTTGTATTTTTTTTAAATGTATTTACGGTCTCTGTTCTTTTTATTGCCACCTCAGCAGTTCCACAGCCTGCTGTAAATAACTATGAGCCTGTCACTCGAAGACAGCCAAGAGCTAGAGAGGACCAGACTGAACCGGCGCGAGCAGCCTCTCTCAGCCGGATTTCCTCATGCATATATTACTAGTCGGCTCCTGATTGGCTGAGCCGGGGTGTTTTTCTCTTGAATACGCCCTCATATGGAAGCCACATGTGTACTGCAGCGTGGTTTAGGTGTAAAAGAAAAGGAAAGACACATTTAAAAAAATAGGCAAGACGCAAATAAATACAATTTGACTTACTTTATTAGTAGAAAAGACATAATTACAGAAACTCCATATTGACCTTAATGGTTGTTACAGAGTACATTTAATTCAGTTTGACAACGCACAAAAAACATACCTCAAAAAATTACATCGCAGAATATAAACATGTTACATGCATGGTGACCTAATCTTTTACAGTTGACATAACTCATGCTAACCAGTGGCATAGGAAGCGAATTCATTTGTTTTTCTAGCTGCTGTAGTTTTTCTATTACAAATAACTTGGCCCAAATACTTTTAACAAATGCAGAATGATGCATAAGGTGAAGAATGAAAATATAACATTTTAATAAACTTTCAATCAGTCCTGCGTTGTTGCGAATAAGTTGAGTTGCAGTCTTGACACTTGGGCAAAGATATGATATCACCGGGGGGACACACGAGCACTTCCACCAATCAGCGAAGAGATAGGATTGACTTCAACCAATCAGCGAGCAGAGGCTCGGTCCGCACAACCCCCACCTCGCCACCAGTTTCTGAACAGGTTTAAACCGCTTCTAACAAAGGCTACAAACTTACAAGAACCGTCTATGAAAGAAACTGTAACGTATAATTTAAAAAAACACATGTCACGATATGATTACAAAGTGAATGTGAATATGAAAATCGCTAATTGTAGATATCGAAGAAAACATATTTACAGTAAACGATTAACTAGTTTTGGACAGAAGGGCTTGTTGTTTATAAGCTCTTGTGCTCTAACAAACCACTTCATTTAAACATTAATTCACCTGGGATACTTTTAAAACGATTAAATATCTAATTCAAGATGTTCGTTTTTAAAATGATTTCTAATATTACTGAAACTCTTTTAAGAGCAAGGAAGACGTTTCAACCAAGCATCATCTGCATAAGGGTTCATAACGAAATCTTTCATTTCTAATTTGTTTCTACCTATGCCAATGGATTAAACCGTTCACAGAGTACAAACTAAAAGTGAATATGGACAGAATAGACAAGCAAGCAAACAAAAGACACAATGTAACATAAGGAGCATCTGTCATTGCAGTCCAACAAACATCTTCATCATAAATAAAAAGTGCTGAATGAAAATGCTCCTTACCTCGATCATGTCCAATAAGGACGTCTCTGTGGTTTAAATACTCCACTTCTTCCGTGAAATTCTGTGTGTAGGCAGTGTTGGACCCAGCATTACGTGATTCAGTCCAGCGAACTTTCGCCAGTCCCTTGGCGTGAATGTTCAGAGATCTCACGCGGATTTCTCCGGTCACTTCAATGACCACCCGACCTGAGACAAAGTCCCCACTGGCGAAGACAGGGACATTGCTGTCATTGGGACAGTCGTAGCTGACAAAGAAGTTTTTCACCTTTCCGAGCACCATGGTGGAAATCTTACTAAGCTGTAAGATATTTAAAATAAAAAGAGCGAATCATCTGTCAGGTGTTTTGTATGAATCATCTAAGGTTTTTGCCGTGCAGAACGGCTGCAGGCAGGGGTTCAGTGCTATACTTGTCTGTTAATCATTGAGTTTTGCTGTAACTGCATGTGAAGATGCAGCTGTATCTCTGCGCTCTGGCTCTGCTTTAATACCTCCGCTTGGTGGAAAAACAACCGGACTGCGCATGCGCAATCGATAAGGCTGCTGCTCTCTTCTTCCGCCTTCCTATGCTTCAGTCTCTGTTGTATTGTTAAAAGTAACCTGTCTTTACATCCGAAGTGTTTTACTAATGAACAAGTGACTGTTTATATTATACCTACATTATGATAGGATGAAATACTACATAGTGGTGTAAAAAAAACAAACAAACATGAAATACAAATGTGAATAGAGTATCCTAGTGAAACAAAAGAAACTGGAAGTAAATAGAAAGAAGGTCCGAGTAACGCTTCACAATTCAATTTTAAGACCAAAGAAACCGGATTGAATCCAAATGTACAATAGTTCATGCGTTGTTGACATCTTACACAGAAGTGAAACTATGCTAAATTAAATATAAATGCAAGTTTGCGTGAATGAAATCACTCATTAGACTTTATAGAACGCGATTTTTCCCCCATAGATGGTTGTATTGTTAAATTATGTTTTCATGTCAAGTTTTGTTTTAGTGTTTTGTACAATCTCATCATTTCAAGCACGGGGCTTTCATAGTTTCCCCCATTGCTCTTCACTGCCACCTGCCTGTGTTTGTATAATGCACTGTACAAGTACAATGTAAATTGTATTCTTTTGTAAGCTAAATGCATACACGTAGATGTAAAATGTAAATATTTCAAACCAAATATATCACTCAAATATGTCACACCAAAAATCATAACATTTCGGACATGTCCAAAAGAGATGGGTCAGAGAGCCTCCTGCAGATTTACACCAGTCACAAATAGGAGAAATAGTAGCTAATAGGAAGCTAAACTGTTACTAAATGGTGAAAAACCTAAAAGACACGATGACCAATTACATCATCTAAAATACAGTTTCCTTGAACCTGAAACTTGCATGTAAAAGTCCATATTATTTGTCAAATACTCAACAGCAGATGGCAGCAAAGCTCTATTCAAACTCGTGAACTTGATTATTTAAAAGTACCAACATGCATTAAACCACAACTGTTAGAGACATGCTAAAAATAATAATACATTTAAATTACTCCCAACTATTGCATGGTCCATGGAGGTGTAATATGGACACTACATATGTAATTTCCAAAGACAGTATTGTAATTTTCCCATGTTTTACAGCACAAACTCAAAAAGGTAAAGCATATATTCATTTGCAAAGAAATCTGGAGCACAAAACCCCATTCGTTTATGAGTATAAAGATTCTGGAACAATTTCGCCAAGTAATTGATTCTGTTCAGATCAATTCTCATTGGATGACCATTATAGCTCAAGACAAAGACCCGTTCAGGCAAAGTCCTGTCATACTAAAACAATGGCCATGACTGAGAAGATGGATCCATTTCTACCTTTCCCACTCTTCGTTTTATGTAATTCACTGAATGACCTTATCAATTCCATCCTCCAGATCTGGGACAGGTCTGCTCTCTCCGGGTCAGATGTCACCGTTAGAGTTCAAAGGTCAAATTTAGTATTTCAATTCAAAACACATACAAAACGCTGATGGAAATAGGTAGATTTATTATAATATTATTATACTGCTGGCTCTTAAATTAATGAAACATATATCTAATTATAATTTAAAATTTCAATTACAATTCTATTGAAGTGAGGCATCCACACATACTGACTAAATATAGGCGAATCAATTTTACATCACTTATAGTTTTGCCAATGAATTTTAATCTATATCACCAATTAATTTGATAACTTTTAATTGATTATAATTCATTTACTAGGTTCAGTGCCTCGCCAAAGCATAATGCTTCCTTCCTTAGGCTGGTAAAATGTGTGTGTGTGTGTGTGTGTGTGTTTAAGAGCCATGATGTAATGTGAAGACTCAAGTCTTTCCCACACTTGGAGAGGGATCCCTGACAGCCTGGGAAACTAAAAGCTTCCATCTGTTCAACAGGTCAACAGAGGGTCCTGTGACCTTTGACACAGATTTGTCCCCCAGTAAACATGAAGGACCAAGCTGTTGACAGAGCGGTAAACGATACAGACCAGTTCTGTGTAATCTCATCTGAGTCAGACTTATTCTGTTGACAGGTCGTACATCTAATTGGTCAACAAAGGGGGAATAAGAACATATAGCAATGAAACACCTTCCTTAAACCCGGATAAAGGACCTGTATTTACAGGGTCTATTCCCCGATGGAGTGACAGGTGAGGTAAAACACTTGAATTGAAATGAAGAAGAGACCAATTCATTCTTTCCTTTACAGTCCGAAACATCCATTCTGGAGAACTTGACAGTACAGTCGGCAATATATAATATGTGGATGCACAATGCTAGAGACATTATGTAAACACGTCACTTGCTGCGTTCCTCCAATCAGTAACACTGACACCGCAAATATGCAAATAAGGACTTTAACCCGGGTTTAGGAATGTGCAGTGTGAAATGGCTTCTTATGAATACCCAGGATTAACTTTTAACCCTGGGTAAAGTATAAGCAGTATGAAACGTGAAATGAGATAACCCAGGATTCCATTTACCCGGGGTTTAGAATGACCTAGGGTTAACTATTTCAAGTGTGAAAAGCCCTATAGTTTCACACTGTATATGTTTGCCACTGCAATGCACGTTTTCATAACCCTGGGTAAAAAGCGGTGCTAATCATGCTTCCAAATTACAAATGTGAAACATACCTTTACCCAGGGTTAAAAGTGGGGTTTAGAACAACGCACAGAGTGAAAAGTGCTTTCATTTGGGAGAAAGAAGAAACTGCTTTGTTCTTTCATTTATAGTATGAAAAGTCCATTCTGGAAAAACGTGATAGTACAGTCTGGACTATATAATACCCTATGAGAATGTGCCTTTATATAAACAGGTCTCGTGCTGCATTCGTCCAATCAGTGATGCAGAAGCTGCAAATATGCAAATGAGAACGTTAACTCGGGGTTTAGGGTTTATTCAACTTTAATGTTCAAATGTTAGTGAGATGAAGAAAAATACAAATCTTTTATATATCAAACTGCATATGTAATGGACAACAATTACGCTCACTTTGGTATCTCTTTTGGAGGCATCTTGAGTTAAACAGCTCCATATTTAATGAAGCACATACAAAAGACCTGAACCGGAAGTGATGCAACCTGTTTTACGCAATATAGAAATTTGTTGCTCATAACCCTATTAGAACAGAACTATTTCAAGTGTGAAAAGCTCTTGACTGTGTTTAATGGTGGTATGTTAAGGTCTTAATTCTATATGGAAACTCTTTAAATGGCAGTCAAGGACCCTCATATGTAGACGATCAATACTCTGGTATACTGAATGAGTTACATCTGGGATTGTGACATACAGATCAAGGGCCGTAATGGAGGCACTGAATTGCTTTGTATCATCCAGGTGTGCTTTCCCACCTGCAGATGTGCTGCAGTACATTCACTCTCTCAGAGATCCAGCTGCATGCATTTGGCTTCCAAATAGCTCAGTCCTTCCAGATGTCACAAAGGTCACACATCTGCTTGTGAAATGCGATGGCCTTTGACACCACCCGCTGCCCCTGAGCCTCTGTGGCCCTTTTGTTACATAAAGTGCCTGTGCTGGTGTCGACTGCTGCGATTTAGGCACCTGATATTTGCCTGGACTCACTGAACACAAGTTATTTTATGATCCTACACTCTTAAAAATAAAGGTGCTTCAAAAGGTTCTTCTATGGCATCGTGAAGCATCTTTATTTTTAAGAGTGTAGTGCAAAAATCTATTATAATGTTTATTTATAATATTATATTTATATATTATTTATATTAATATATATATATTTATGTGTGTGTATGTATGTATATATATATATATATATATATATATAACTTGATTTTGTTTGACAGATTAGTACAGAGCTGGTAATCCTGGCAAAAATGTGTACAAAAATTAAGATAATAATGTTTAGATATCATTCTTGTTTTTGCAGTAGTGACCCTTCTTTTGACCTTTGACCCTGGGCTTTGTCCTCGTCTTTGCTCATTGTATCGCTTTGACCCTTTAACCTGCGGCTCCTACAACCTGTTCACAAACATGCCACCGATCACATGACTCTGCTCCATCCCGAGTCTTGAGGTTCATCAGCAACTCAAAGCAAAACGTTGACCCTTGAACTCACTGAATTATGCATGAAAAGAATAGTTGCTGCTGAAAGTGCAATCACTGTTGTTAATAATATTTTTAGAATAGCTGCTCCTATAAATACCTTGGTTGTTTATACAGTACATAAGGTAAGACACTGCCGGTAAATATGATAAAAAAAATAAAAAAAAAATAATAGATATCTCCACACTTTTTGACAATACATTAAGACAATTGTTTTGTTTTACATGTTTTCTGAAATGTTGTTTAAATATGCAAATGAAGCATTATCTAATTAAATATGCGCTATTTTGCATTCATTTCCAGAAAATAAATCTAAACAGCATTGGCCAGTTAAAAAAAAAAATTTGTTCACATATTAAACGATTCGTACAGAGGTGATTTTGGATTTCTCTTTTTTTCACTCATAAATCATAAACCAGAAAAACTGTCAGCTAGAAAACAAGAATAAACTTTCACCATACTATTAGTATCAAAATGTTATATAAATCAGGTAAATGAAAAACATCTGTAAAAACCTTCAGAAAATAGATAATAATAAAACTGTAAAGTCTGATGTGCTACTGAAATAAAGATTTCTGACAAAGTCATGGAAGCAATATACGCCAAAATATCAAAATTAACTAGTGTCTGGCAAAAAAAAGTTAATAAAAATATTGTAGTGTCTTAAAATAAATATATAAAATATATAATATAAAATATTATTTTTAAGTAATAAAATTAAAAGGTATTAAATC